TAGTTGGGCATGAGTAATCTAACTGTTATTAAAAGAACAATATTCGAAAACATACAATGATCATGGTTATAGATTCATGTGGATCTCTTTGGAGTTCTGGCCTGGAGGAATCGACAACACCAGTTCATTTTTTAAATGGATTTCCTCTTTAGTTTTTTTTTTAGAGTTTCTTGGAGAGATTTGAATAGCTTTTTTTGTCATGGTTGTCTGGCTCACTCTCCCTTTGTTTCCCTTCTTTTTCTCTAGGAGAAGAAGAGCTTGAAGAACTTGGAGTTTCTGCAACCAGCAACACTTCAATTCTGATGACGTTCACGAAACTGTACTTCTCTGTCAAGGAGAAGGTGGGCCATTGAAGCCTACCGGAGTTACCTTCCAAGGAAATGTTAGTACCATGGTTGCTCACAAGGTATCGAGTTCCCATTGAAGTCCTCAAGTTCATTGATCATAGGTGATGAGTCTTCTCCATTCATGCAATTTAGCTTTTCAGTAGACTCCTTGAATGATGCACATAATGAGAGATTTGCAAGTTAGGGAGTTTAGCGTACCATATTTGGGATTAAAGCACCAGTTTCCTGCCAATTTGGTAGGATTTATTACCTTATTACTGCACATGTCATTTGCCTTGAAATTTTGTTTTCAGTCATAGGGAATTATTTAAGATTCCAATAGCTTTCTAAATAGTATCCAGTTGGTGAATCTTCATATAGAGTTATTGTCTATTACTACTTGACTTCCTCCCCCTACCATGCTTGGAGGATGGGTTATTACATTCTCAATTTGGGTTTGTTTCTGAGTCTGGAATTGTTCTATGTAAATCCCATTGTTTGTCCTCATTATCGTGCTTTTATAGGAATGGGCGTTGAACGCAAGGGTCAGACAAGGAAGAAGTATTAGATGTTTCTTCGAATCACAACAACCAATAACGGAGACAAGAAGAGAGGCACATAAAAATGCAGCAAAGTTGGAAGGAGAACTCGCTTCAATAAGAAAGGCTCGAGACAATAAGGTTAGGCTTGTTTGATGTGCTTATTAATGCAATAGTATTTGACCACCTCTCCATGGATGGGTTTGCGCTTTCGTTTCCTCCCACTTTCGACATCCTTCTCCCATGTTAGCATGAAGAATTTTTTGGGTTTGTAAACTCGAAGTAATGAATAATTTGAATTGGAGTTTTTAACTGGCACTTCCTATTTGATCCTCAGATTACCAGTTTTGTTGATGGGTTGGTATGGATAAAATCTCAGGTTGGAAGGTAGCAAGAGATTGATAGAAGTATTTGAAGACGCTGAGTATTTTTAGTGCCATTTATGGTTCCTTATGTTGGTTAGTTGCTTTGGGTTATTGTTGATTTGGGTTGGATTTGAGATAAAGATTAGTTTATTGGTTGGAACATTTGTAGTTAGTTGATTAGTTGAACCATTTGTAGTTGCGATTCTCGATCTGCATTCTCGCTACTCATTTGACCTCCTCGCTAAAGCTTTTGTGTCATGCCTCTTGGTCGTTGTTTTGTTAGAATTATATAGTTACTTTTCTTTTTCTGGTTTGGTTTTGAATTCTTTGTTGGTGTTCCTTCAACACATGTTCATCCTTGGACTGAATGTGGCGATGTTATATACATAGCAGATAAAATCTTAGATAAAAGCTAATTTTTGTAGTTGGTGGGGAGGAAGAAATTTTATGTCTTTCTTATACGGAAATGATGGATCTCCTTCCATTCAATGTGGGCTACTGGTTTCTTATAAGAGATTATGCCTGCAACTTCCATTTAATAAATTTAGGTTGTCTCTGCCGGCTGTATGAGCAGCATATGATTTGCCATAGGTCCGTTACAGATTATATCTTTGAGAAATTTTAATTTTAGGTTTTCTGTGTTTGACAATAACAGGAATGAACAGTGGTTGATATTGGGGTCTGTTTGGGTATCCGCACCAAAAATCCCTACCCTCACTTTCCTATCGCGCCTCAAGTAGAACTCCAGCATCTCGGACCCAACGAGATATCCGCCAAAGTGCCATCCCCCTACTCCTGCAGGTCCCTCAACATCACAGGCATGAGTTATCCGCTGAATTTCATACTCAGATCTATAGTCATTATATGTATGGTTACCCATATGGTGAGTTTATGGTTTCTCAGTCTAAGTTTCTCCACAATTTTGAGCTGAATGATGAGCTTCTCCCCTCTTTTTATTTGTTGTTTATAGCTTTTTTCTACCTATTTTGGGTTTTCAAATTTGATTCAATCTCATTTCATCTTCGTTGATAGATTGGACGGGCTGGTCATGTATTCATGTACATGAAGTACTTTTATTATATGGTTCGTTATTCTCAAAGTTGTGACTACATATACAAAATGCTAATAAAGTTCATTGCTTCACTAAATATAGTTAATTCCAGATGACTCATATGGTGCAACTTCATGGAACATATTTATATTTATATTTATTTTATTTTTGGCTAGGTGTTGCTGCCTTTTGTATTTCGGTGAACACTTCATCAATGAATTGGTCTTCAAGGGTGATGTTATTGTCCAGGTAACGTACATGCTTCATTAACATAATCTAGATTTGAAACTAGAAATAAAAATCAAAGGTCAAGCTAAGTTTGTTTTGTCAACCGAATTTTAGAATAAAAGAGCAAGCTTTGAAATAATTGGAAAAGTGACAGATGAGGATTGACTTGGTATAGTTTGGCTTTTCTTTTGCTACACTTGATGTTAGTTAGCATAAACATTTTACAAAAAATGTGTTGGTTGGTTCATTTGGTTATGAGGGCTGTGATCTATGATCTTCCTATTTTTTTTGTTCTCTCTAATTGCAGGGCATTGACTTAATGGTATATCAGGTTCATAAATCCTCTAAACCTTTTAGTGGTCAAGTTAGAATTGTTATTTATTGATACAGAGTTGACGTGTACGTTGAGTTTCGGTTGGGGATGAGTTTCTGCTGTAGAGAAGAGAGTCATGATGTTGGAACTACTGTCGTTACTGCTGTTAATTCCAATGCGCCCTGCTTCTCCTTCTCTGCTTTCTCAGTTTCATTTTTTTTTGTTACGATTGGCGGTTTGTCGATCTGTCTCTTACCTCTTTCTTATATCACTAGATTCGAAGTAAAAGTTTGCTTATTTGGTGAAAGGGTGGTCAGGGGTGGTTGCTGAATGTCGTCGTTTCTCTTTACTGTTGGGTACAGTCGATGAAATTGTATGATCAAAGGTGAGATTTGTTCTTAGAAAAATTGACTGATCAGATTTGGCCTGTACTTTGATTTAGGATGGAGTGTTTACTGGCCGCTTTTAGCTATGTCTTACTCATATGTTGTGTTTGTTGCCGGTTTTGTGCCATGTTCAAGTCTTCCCTTCTATGTTATCTGGATCTTGCGCTGCTGCTCAAAGGAAGTTTCGCCATAATGTAATTGATTTGTCAGTTGTCACCATTGCTAGACTTGATTTTTGACTTTTTTATGATCTTTTATGGTTGCTGGTCCTTGAAAATGAATCTCATTATTAAAACTACGGTAAGCACGAGATCGTATGTTTAAAGCTACCATTGATAGTGAAAGTAACCATAATTCAAATACAAATTCTTCTTTGGCAGCGAATGCCTGCTTAAAAGTAATGAAAATCTTGAAGTTGAATTAGTAGTCAGGTTTCATTGATGGTCTAAACGTGACTTGGTTAGCTCTGTGTTTATTTACTGTTATAGTCTCCCATTGAATGAAAATGGAAGGATGTAAATAGTCTTTTCTGTCATATAATAAGATTCAACGAATGGAAATGGAAGCATGCAAATTATCTCTATCTTCCTATATGTATCAGATATTAGTTCTAAGCCTTCGTTTTTTTCCTCTGTAGTGTATGGCTTGCAGATTTATCTATCATATATATAAGAAATGGTGTTTCCCTTATTTTCATGTTTCATTACCATATTTGGTATATTGTTTTTTGCTCGGTGGCAATGTCGTAACTCTTAGGAGTGTCGATTGGGTTCTTAGGAGTGTCGATATTCTTCATTACAACATGTTCTACAAGATGAAGGTTGAGCTCTTGGAACAACTTTAGTTACCACATATCTAATGCTCATATTATGCTGTTAGAACAAGGATTGAACTCACTATTCCGATCATGCCTACAATTCGGTAATAATACAAGATGAACAATAGCTTTACTAACCATATATCTATTACTCATATTATGCTTTTAGAATAAGGATTGAGCTCACTAATCCAATCATGCCTACAATTCAGGATTAATACAAGTACATATGTTTTGGCATCATGTCTTGGTTAAGGAAAACTACAGCAGATTGGTGTCATTCACTGACATTATAGATTTATGCAAAGAGGTAAGGGCTATAGCCTACATATATTTTTGCCTCGGGACCTCTCAGTTTGACTAATTAATTTCCTTTTACTTCATGTCATGTTCAACCAGTCTTCTTACAACCTCTGTATGTGTGGTTGGTTTAATCCTTGCTGCAATCCTACAGCCACGTAAAGAAGGTTGAGCTCTTGGAGTTTCAAGGGAAGGTGGATTAGTAAAAGACACTAGAATTATGAAGTCTCTTCAAATCAGTAGGAAAGGTTAGGTCAGCCGCTATAGTACTTCATAATCTTGATTTGTCTTGCTTTCATTTAAACCGGTCATGTATCAATGCTGAACTTAGTCAAAATTTAAGAGCCTGACTTTCATTTGAATGCCAGTTAGCACATTCATTGTTCCATTGGGTTAATTGGATACTCTTTTATGTCCGTAACAGTCACTTATTTTATTTTGCTTCGAGTTTTTATAGTTCAGTAATTCTCAATATAGCCATTTACCAAACACTTTTTGTGCCTTCAAACAATCCGTTTTAAATCATTCAAACAGTCCCGATATCAACACTTTGAAAAACAACCCGCCGCGAAGCGCGGGCTTCTTACCTAGTTGAGATAGAAATGAAACTTACCGAATTTAACGCCTTTTGCACAGAGCTACGAGGATGAGCCATTTCCAGGGAGTCAGTACTCGATGCCGGCGAAGTCAAGAACAGCATCAGAAAGCTGGGACGAATGCGGCGTAGAAGGAGGTGGAGGAGGAACAATGAGCTACGAGACCGTTTTGTCGGATTTCAAGAAGGAGAATTCTTCAACCAGAAAAGGGGCTCATTCTGCCGAGGATCAGAAATCCGTCACCGGACCCTGCACCAACAACAACATCACCGTTCTCCACAGTTCCCCCGGCGGCGGAGGAACAACAGCAGAGCTCTACAAATCAAGCAGAGGACTCAACTTTGCAGGCTTCAAATCGTCATCGTCCTGCAACCGTTCCCGCGCAAAAGCAGACTTCGAAGCTCAGAATCGAAAGAGCAAGATTCATTCCAACATTGTAGTTCCATTGACGGATTCCCACGCTTCCGTCCAGTCTCAGCCGAGGAGCAAAGGAATGATGTCGTGGCTGTTTCCGAGGCTGAGGAAGAAGCACACCAAGAACGCAGCTACAACTTCGCCGGTGAGAACAGAGTCCGAGGAGGCCTCGCAGGCATTCGGGGAACTGGGTATGCTGTCGATCGAGAATCTGAGGAGGGAATTGAGGGAATCGAATGAAACCAGGGACGCAGCACTGACAGAAGTTGCGGAGACGAGAGCTTCGTTAGGCCCTTTGAGGCAAAAGATCGAACACCTGGAGGGCTACTGCGAGGAGCTGAAGGCGGCTCTGAAATCCGCCTCGAGATCCAAAGGGCGAGCCAAATCAATCGATGGGTACGCAGAAAACAACAACAACAGCTCGAATCATCATCCATCCATTCTCCCCGTGACCGACGAAGCAATGGTGGAAGGGTTCCTCCAAATGGTGGCCGAATCCAGACTGTCAGTGAAACAATTCTGCAAATCCCTAATCTCCCAAATCGAAGACGCCGCCGATTCCCCACTCATCGAAACCATCCTCTCCCTCAATTCCAACCATCCCAAGACGATCCTCCACCACCTGGAATCCATAATCAACGACACGATGCACCAGGACTTCGAGAACTCGGCCTTCCAGAAGAACGGCGCGCCGAAGCACTTGGACCCGCAGCAGGATCGGCAGGCCCAGTTCCAATCCTTCGTCTCGCTGCGGAACCTGAGTTGGAACGAAGTTCTGAGAAAAGGGACGAAGTATTACAGCGAGGAGTTCAGCAAGTTCTGCGACCAGAGGATGAGCTGCATCATCGCGGCGCTGAATTGGACGCGGCCGTGGCCGGAGCAGCTGCTGCAGGCGTTCTTCGTGGCGGCGAAGTGCGTGTGGCTGCTTCATCTGCTGGCGTTCTCGTTCGATCCGGCGGCGGCAATCGGGATCTTGAGGGTGGAGGAGGAAAGGGGGTTTGATCCTAGGTACATGGAAGATGTTTCGAGGGAAAGGGCGGGAAATGGTGGTGGTTCCTCGAGCAAGGTGGTTAAGGTTATGGTGATGCCTGGGTATTATGTTCAAGGGAGGGTTTTGAGGTGTAAGGTTTTGTGTAGGTACAAGGGTTCTTATGGTCACTCTGGTGGTGGTGGTGGTGGTGTTAACGTTTCTAGTTGAAATCGTTGTGGATTAACACCAATTTGTGTTTGATATATCTTTGTAAAAAGATGTTTCGGTTAGTGTGGTATATGATCCACGATTGAACCTCTTCCAACAACTCGAGTTATTGGGACCAATTGGTTCTTGACATGATAGTAGAGCATTATGTGACCCAGAGGTCTTGTGTTCGAATCCTGATAACCCCCATTTGTTAAGCACATGGTATGTGGACCTCTGCAAACTTCAAGCCCATGTGAGTGTTTGAGAGGGCGTGTTAGTGTGTTATATGATCTACAATTGAACCTCTCCCAACAACTCGAGTTATTGGGACTAATTGGTTTATGACAGTTTCGTGTTAGAAATTTTTATGACGAATTTATGAATTTTTCATTCTTTTAATTTGTTATGTCTTAATGTTTGAGTTGTGCAAATATAAATGATTAGCATGAATAAAAAAAGTTAGTATCTTTTTAATTCATGGTGAATTTGTTGTTGTCACTTGAAAACAAATTATATTTCACTCGAAATATATTACAAATATCTTCACAATCTCTATAGTATGTATTTACTAAGGCTGCTCGTACATTAGTTAACAATAATCATGTTAGTAAACTAGAATGCAAAATTGTTATATTTGGTTTTTTTAGTGTCCTTGTGATTTTCTTTATTTTTTACATGTTCTAGTCTTTGCGTGCAATTCGATTGGTTGAAGATTAGTTATAGAGACTTTCTAGTGTTTCTAGAAGAAGATGCATCAGCTTTGGGTTAGCAGTTCGGCCCATAACTTTTAGGCCTAAACGAGTTCTTGGATCCATGTCCAACAGATTTATATTGGGCCAGAGAGAAAGTGATAGGGAAACTCCGGCCCACTAATAATACGGCTAAGAAATTCCATAACGGTCAACGCAGATGTAGGATATGGTTTTATATTTCTGTTCTTTTGGTATATGGTGTACTGGGGAAAGAACGCAGTGGCAGAAATGAACAGCACATCTTATGGTTATTTTGTCACTTTGGACTTGTGTCGGATTCAGGATCATTTTCAAGTTTGACTTTTAATCAGCTTTTATATACTAAATACTAGTACTAATACTCTCATACTATATGATATGTTCTGTACAGGATCGTATTATATTAAATCGACGTTTGAATTGGATCATATTAAATCTAATATAATATGGTTCAGTCTTTAGTCTCATGAATTATATATATACATAATTGATATTGGAGTGGACAAATCCGGAATGCATTGATGGTTGATCATTTGTCCTAAGAATTGCACACCAATGGGAATAAGTGAATAATCATAGTGAAACAGAAATCATACAAACAAAACATGACAACGAGTAACTACGAAGGGTAGTTTATCATAAGCTCATATATAAAGGAGAGACTAGATCTCGTCATGTGATGGGTAGCTCTATTGTACTTAGGTGATGTATAGACTCATGATGACAACATGATTATGGAAAAATGAGTCGAATTTCGTTACCATATATGCACGAAATAGCAATCGATATAGGTGAATGAAACTCCCATTAAATCTATCTCATCGAAGCTGGTGCCAGATGAATATGCTTTCATTTATTTTGTTCTGTAGACGGTTTGCGAGATAGGTAAATCTTATTTCCTTTTACCTACATTCTCCGTCTTCCAAAATTGAATAACATACGACTTGTGAATGAATTATATTTTCAATCTAATACGCTTTGTTCATTTTATCCGACCGTGTAGACAACATGATAAAGAATCAACCTGCCTTATCAGTTACCACCCATTAACCACGATTGAACAAAATTATTTGATCTCACTCGAACTTAACACAAAGGTCTTTGTCTTTTGAAGACAATTGAAGTACCCACACAATGATATTCTCTTTCCATAAATGTTGTATTTCTTCCTTTTGCCAATATTCCTACATTAAATAAGTATGAATACATGATGATATTGCCTTGTCATGTGCTTGCCATCTGCCTTCTTAATTCACATATATGCACATTGATTACATCAAAACATAATAGGACAAACACACATGAGAATATAACCAAATGGGTGATTAGTCACATGAACACCCTATATATCGATACAATCGGTAACAAATTTAGTATATTCTATCAATTTTGTCTGCCAACTGGTGATGAAAATGGGACAGGCGGGTTACTCAATAGTCAATACACATATCTACCCTGTAACAAGCGCGAGACAAGTCGGGTAATACCTGTGCGGATATGAGGCATGGCGATTCATCCTCATTTGCTATTTAAAAAAAGAACGTCGACAATTAACTTTTTTACAAGTAGTCATAAAATTAAACTTCATAAATAAATGAGAAATATAGTAGAAGAAATTTTTGAGTCATAGTAGTTGAAAGATAGAGTATTAAAATTTCTTTGAGATTAAAATATGATTTTATAAATGTCAAAAGATGAGACATATACGTTGATATTGTTGCAAATCATGACAAAACAGGTAGAGAACAAGGATGGACAGGTTAGAAGCAATGCGTAAATAGGTCGGGACATGCTGTATCACAACAGATTAGGTCAGAAATTACCATCACTATCGCCAACCAATGTTTGATGAATGACACTAACCAATATTTGAAAAGAAAGGGAGTTAATAGAATAAAGTGAATTTATATTGCTATGTTTGTCAAATATATCCTTATACTATTTTTCATTTCATACTTGCTCGTGAATCATTATCGAACTAGGTACATATCGATATCAATTAACCCTTTTGCCCCTACTATTCGTAAAGATAGAGAAGGTTGGGAATAGGGCTGGAAGTTTGGTATATTGGGGATATACCGAATACCGTACCGAATTTGTCTATATTTGGTATTACCGAATATACGTATTATTTTGTGGGATTGGGATTGAATTTTAATTGTTATTCGGTATTAGGGATTGCGAGATTGGAATCGGTATATACCGAAATACCGATCAATACCGAAATATAAGATAGTGTGTATTTTATACTCTAAACTAGACTCTCTCATTGACTACTACGCGATCCTCGACCAGCAAAAGTGTCATTTAATTATACATAAATCATTGCATCACTATTTCACACTAGTATTAGTCGTCTCTCAATCTCAAATTCGTCAAATTAAAGAATACCAATTACAAGAACTTGACATGTTAGCTCTAGGCAACTCAAAACTATTTGTTTAGTCTCTTTGCCCTAATTTAAACAATAAAATCTAATTTATATATTTAATTATTAATTGTAAAAGGTAATTAATTATGTATTCGATAATACCGATTGAGATACCAAGGTACCGATTGGGATACCGAAATTATTTAGGGATTGGGATTGGGATACCGAAATTATTTAGGGATTGAGATTGTGATTGATTTTAGGGTGTAATTCGGTATTCGGGATTTCGATATTTGGTATTGGAATACCGATACCGTACCGATATCCACCCCTAGTTGGGAAGGCACGATTGGTAGTAAAAATTCTATACAAAAAGTCGCATAATATATACCTAAACATAGTTCAACAATAATGATTCCTGAACTTTGAACAAAAAAATGTAACAGAAGAACATATTTTTTTTTTCTATAAAGCAGAAGAACTGATTTGGAAATTTGATTATAGTAAATAAAAGGATTAGCGTTACCTGAAAACATAGTAAGAAAAATGTTTATGGAAATTAATGATTAGAAAGACAATTTACCTGCCACCCAAAGCAAACCAAAAAGCCAAAAACAAAGGAGAGGCAACAGTCTCCACTTTTGACGAACCAGGCGGAGCACTTCTTTCCGAGAAGGGACTTCTCAGCTACCCACCAAAACTTTCCCCTTCCAAATTTGACCAATCATCCCTCTCCCTCTCCCCCTCACTCGCCGTCGCCGGATTCCGCCGGCAACGATGGCGTCGTTGGCACCTGAAGAACCCAATCATCACAACAACAACAGCAACAACATAGTGATGTTCCCTTTCATGGCGCAGGGCCACATAATCCCGTTCCTAGCTCTCGCCCACCACATCGAACGAACCCAAAACCACTCCCGAATCACCTTCGTCAACACCAAACTCAACATCCAAAAGCTCCGATCTTCCCTCCCGCCCGATTCCACAATCCACCTGCTCGAAATCCCCTTCGAAAGTTCCGATCACGGCCTCCCCCCGGCGACCGAGAACACCGACGTCCTCCCTTACCCTCTCATCGTCCGCCTCCTCGACGCCTCGACTTCCCTCCGCCCCGCTTTCAAGACCCTTGTACACGATCTCATCGCCGGAGGGGATCGCCCCCTTTGTATAATCTCCGACATCTTCTTCGGATGGACGGCTACGGTGGCCAAGGAGCTTGGGGTTTTCCACGCCGTGTTCAGCGGCGCAGGCGGGTACGGGCTGGCCTGCTACTACTCGATCTGGACATCGCTTCCTCCCCGGCAATCGGAGGAGTTCGCGCTCGAGGATTTCGAAGGGATTCGGATTCAAAAGACCCAGCTGCCGCTGAGTATTCTGGAGGCGGATGGGTCGGATTCCTGGTCTCTGTTTCAGAATAAGAATCTGCCGGCGTGGGTTGATTCGAGCGGGATCCTGTTCAACACGGTGGAGGAATTCGATTGGATTGGATTGTCTTACTTCAAGAAGAAGCTAGGGATTCCAGCTTGGGCAATCGGGCCTGTACTTCTCTCTTCCGAGAGCAGAGACCGCGCGGGGAAAAGTTCCGAGTCAGGCGTTTCGTCGAACAGCTGCAAGGCATGGCTGGATGGAAAGCCAGAGAGGTCCGTTCTCTACGTGTCGTTCGGATCCCACAACACGATCAGCCCGGCCCAGATGATGGAACTCGGGAAAGCGTTGGAATCCAGCGGGAGGAACTTCATCTGGGCGGTGAGGCCGCCGATCGGGTTCGACATAAACTCCGATTTCAGATCCGAAGAATGGCTGCCGGAAGGGTTCGAGGAGAAGACTTCGGGGAGAGGGCTGCTGGTCGAGAAATGGGCTCCCCAAGTGGAGATCCTTTCCCACAGAGCCACCGGCGGGTTCTTGACTCACTGCGGGTGGAACTCGGTGCTCGAATCGCTGAGCTTCGGCGTGCCGATGATCGGTTGGGCGATGGCGGGAGAGCAGTTTTTCAATGTGAAGTTCTTGGAGGAGGAATTGGGGGTCTGCGTGGAAGCCGCGCGAGGGAAGACTTGTGAGGTGAGCTCTGAAACGATTAGGAGCAAGATCGAGATGGTGATGGATGGGGAGGGAGAGAAAGGGATTGAGATTCGGAGGAAAGCTTCGGAAGTGAAGGAGATGATGAGGAAGGCTATGTGTGATAGTGACGCCGGCGGGAAAGGTTCTTCCTTAAAATCGTTGGATGAGTTCTTTATGGCGGCAAAGAAATCAATGACAGCGACCGCCGAACGGTCGTCCGACGAGCCTGTTGTGGGTTAGATCGGAGAATTTCTTTCTCCGATTACAGTTAATGATATGTTTTAATAAGTAAGACTAAGTTAATGGTGTACTTGATTAGTTTCAATAAAACACAGATTTCTCTCTTTGAGTCTTTGTAATCAATTTCAACTCGATCGTATGGAGTAAGCGTGTCTAAGCATCATAGTTAGTAAAATACGGTACGGGAAAGTTACGTAAAAGATACGTACGGGCATTATACTTCATCTTTAAGCTAAAATTACGTTTAATAGTACGTTAATAGTCATAAATATATAAAATTAATCATTTTAAAAATAAATAAATATATAAATAATAGTAAAGTTAACAATTTAATTCGTAAAATACGGATAATAAACGTGTTATACGGGTTTTATACGTGTTTAGTACGGGAACCATGAAATGAACGGGGGAAAATGAAACGGCTTGACAATAATACGGATACGGAAGTTTAAAACGGATAAAGTACGTACGGGTACATATACGTGTATTAAACGGAGTATTTACTAACTATGCTAAGCATTAGCCGAATCAAGAACACTGAGGTGCTAGTATTAGACTAGATAGACACTAGGAGAATTGTTATTTGTTTCCTAGATTAGGAAGTTAATTAGGTGTTCATTTGCAATGGTGATTCTACAACTGTTAGGTGGCCAATTTTGAGTTTTCTTTCTCAATACCGAAAACCACGAACAAAATTCGGATTGTTGCTTACATTTCGACTCTTTAAAATCGTAGGAAAAGAGTGGGGTTATTTCCGTCTTTTTCACATATGATACAGTACAATATAAAATCGATCACCGCCGCTTGTCACAAACTGAAAACAAGCATCGGTTTCCAATACGAAAAAAATAAGAGAGCACCGACCTTCTTTCTCCCCTGCAGTTGCTCTGTCTCAGAAGTCTCGTCACAGTTTCTCGCGCCCACACTCCCTCTCTCACTCACGGGATCTTCTTCAATGGCGAACATCGAGCCGGAGAAGCAAACCTTGCTGAACCACCACAAGGAGAAACACTTCACCGCTGGCGAGGTCATCCGCGACATCATCATCGGCGTCTCCGACGGCCTCACCGTGCCCTTCGCGCTCGCCGCCGGGTTATCCGGCGCCAATGCCCCTTCTTCCATCGTCCTCACCGCCGGCCTCGCCGAAGTCGCCGCCGGTGCCATCTCCATGGGACTCGGAGGGTGAGTATACTCGATAACGATCATGTTTCCTCCATAACACGACTCTCAATTTTTATCGCGCCATTGCTCCGATTTTGGATTGAATTCCGTGGAAGGATGATTACGAGATTTGGGATCGAATTCTGGAAAATTTTACGGCGGTGGAATTGGTTTGTGGGCTAGGTATTTGGCGGCGAGGAGCGAGGCGGACCATTACTCCAGGGAATTGAAGAGAGAACAGGAAGAGATCGTCGCCGTCCCCGATACAGGTTGTTTAATCTTTCTTCTCTTCTTAAGTGAAAATTCTATCGGAACCTGAATTGCTTGCTCTGTTTTTCTTTTGTTATGTGGTTGCGGCCGGTAAAATGCAGAGGCGGCGGAGGTGGCGGAGATCCTGGCGGAATACGGGATTGAGCCACACGAATACGCGCCGGTGGTGAACGCTCTCCGTAAGAGGCCTCAAGCTTGGCTTGATTTCATGATGAAGTAAGTATTCCTCGACACTGAATTCTCTACTTGTATCGCAACATTTTCTTTGTGTTCGTTCGTTCGCCGGGAATTGTGGACTATTGAACTTCTACGGTTTCAGTTTCGTAGCAGTTAATTTGCGTCGTGTTTGTACAGTGTTCGCGATCGATTATCAAGCTAATACGCTCGAAAACCAACCCATTAGCTCAGTAGGTTAGAGGGTAGTGCTAATATCAAACTGATACACTAAAACACTGATATTGTTAGTTACTCGTCAATTGCTCACCACTCGTTTCTGTCGATTACTATCGAGCCCTACTCGATAATGCTACTTGCGAGACATTACACAGGTCAGATCGAAGTTGTCGTCTCTAATGTGATTGCGACGAAACTGAGGCAGGCTGGCACGGTGCTGCACTTTCTCATTGTTGCCTTGTCCCATTGCAGTTGTAGTGGCAATCAAAGTATGGGTGGGCTTACTGTGGTCACTCAGCACTTCCATTTTATCTCCAAAACGCCTCTCTCTCTTTTCCCACTCAAAACTCAGATTCCGTATCTCAATTCCCAACATCATAATTCATAAAGTTGCTTCCTTTTTGTACTTACATGGTTGTCCTGTATATAAACTTGTTGTATCATCGTTGATCAGGTTGGCACATTTATTGGTGCAATTTGGATTTCCAGCCTCAGGTTTAAGGGTATTGAATGCAACAACTCTGGTATATGCAGGTTTGAGTTGGGACTGGAGAAGCCGGACCCAAGAAGAGCGGTGCAGAGTGCGTTGACGATCGCGATCTCGTACATCATTGGGGGATTTGTGCCTCTCCTTCCTTACATGTTCATCGCGAGGGCTCAGGATGCAGTGATTGCGTCGGTCATCGTGACGCTAATAGCGTTGCTGCTCTTTGGGTTTGCAAAGGGTCATTTCACGGGGAGCAGGCCTTTCATCAGTGCCTTCCAAACCGCACTGATAGGTGCCATTGCTTCTGCCGCTGCGTTCGGCATTGCTAGAGCTGTCCAAACTTGATAATACTTGCTTGCTAGCCTGGGCTTTGCACTTACAACGTCGTGTGGTAAACTGGAATCTTCGGTGACAATGTAGTTTCTGGATAATAATATAGTTGCAATCACGATGTTTATTGTTGCTCAACACGATCATACTATTACAGATGCATAGAAATTTCATCATAACTTAATAGAAGGCACACAGAAGCAAAGCTCGAAGGTGTAGCATTATTTTATGAAAGGCGGTACCAAGTACCAAAGGAAGAAAGAGTTGGACACCAGTTTACTCTGGAAATACTCATAATTGTAACACCAATACTTGTTCTAAACCCTAAAAAACCACAACTAATTACTCAGCATTAATGTATCTATAGCCCTATACACGAGGAAATAGTTTGTCATAATGAATCAAAATCTCCTCCTTTTCCTTCTCCCACCAAGCAAAGCAAGAAAGTGCTTGTTGGTGCTGGAAATTAGCAACTACTTGATTAATCAATCCACCCCCTACCGGATTAAAGCCAGATGCGAAGAATGGCTGCTGCTAGGAAGACATGGATGAGCTTCCAGGGTCGTTATTCCACCAAAAGCTAACCGAAAGACTAGTCGTTAGAGACCGGACATAGTGCCACCATTTTGGTGGTATGTAGAGCATTTCACCTTCCTCCAGAATGCAGTCCAGGAATTCCAGGTCGTGCAGCTTTGGGAATTGCTTCTCGTCTATGTTGTCGAGATCAACCTGTCGAATGAGAATGAAAGACCACATTCATTCATTAGTTTAGATAAGGATGAATGTCGAAATGATGAGAGGATGAATGTCGAAAACTCAGACAGGGGATCACCTGGCTGGAGTTGAAGAGCATGGTTTCATTATGCGGATAGAGTTCCTCCGACAGTGAAGCAGAGTAAAGCCTGATGTACTTCTTGCCAACAACCTGCAAAGGCAGTTTCATGTTTACAAAGAGAAAAGGAAATCGAAATTTTGCAATTCGAAGACAATCTATTCAGAGCTCAGTTAAGAAGAATGCATGCAATAAAAGAAGTTGATCAAAGGAAAATCAAAGGATTCTGCAGTAGTACCTGTGCAAGTATGTTATGGTGAGGATCATGGTGCAAAGGTGTAACCGTGCCAGCAGGGCCAAACCAAGCATTAAGAGACCTAAGCTCTCCGCCGCCAGCGCAGCAGTAGTCAGGGATGCATATATCATTCCGCAGTTGAGTTATCTAACCATTTCAGACACAAATTGCAAAGTCAAATTGTTGGAAAACTTGGTCTTCAACAATGATCGTCGGATTGAAAGAGGACTCAAGGACATGCCTGGTCGAATAATGGGTGCTGAGCAAGATAAGTGGGGACACCAGAGGAAGCGCTAATACGCTCGAGAAACTGGGAAAAGGTTATTAGCTCTTGCTTCCACTCCTGGCATAAATAGTTGTTCCCAACCTGCAAAAACATTTGCCAATCCCCCTGTTTTCGTTGCTGGGATATACTACCACTCTGGCTTGCTACAAATACAAGAAAAATAACCATGGTATATGTTGGACATATGGAGCTCCCTTTTTTTTTTCTTCTTCTTTCCCGTCGGGATAGAAGGACCATATGACCAGTTAGTTTCTATATCAAACGCATTTCGAACCAAACTTCAGAGAAATTCCTCAACTTGACACCCAAGATCCCCATTGCATTTTTCTTAACGCCAAATAAAATCCATCCTATTAGCCCCACTATAGCTTCATCTATATAACAGCACAGAAACCCTTTGAACGATTACACACTTGAGATTCGAGAACTTAAGAAACTACATCAGCAACACAATCAAAATTCTCATATGAAGTTCTAACTTGTAAGGGAAGAAAGAAGGATTAAGGGGTAATGACCTCAACTGGAACCGTCCTATCGCCGGCCACCCTTCTCAGATAATCAACATCGTTCCACTTTCTACTGGCCGGCCAGTGAGCCATACCATCGCTGATGATAACCGGCGAACCAGCTAAGAAATGATCCCGGAGAAACCCTTCCAGCGATAGACCCGATCTCTTCGCCACAAGCTTGCAAGTCAACGATTTCACAGGCAAAACACGAAGCACCTGGGAAAAAAAAAAAAAAAATTTCAACAGCCAAAACCCAAAAGAACGCTGACTTCAACCTTTTCTTCTCCAAGTCTCTCTCAGGAAAACAATCTAACAGTTGGAGGACACAACAAACCTCACCTCCGCCTTATTAAACTCCCCATCCTCAACCAATCTCCACTTCCCTCCCTCCCTTTCCCCGCCCCCACCTCTAGATTTCGCCGAGATGATCTGGATGGCCGAATCCAAGTCGCCCCGGAGAAGCATTCCGCCCATGATCAGCCCCATGTCCAAAACCCTAAGCGCCTCCTTGTACTCGCCGTCCCGGCAGTGGAACCTGGCCACGTGGAGGCAGGACATGGAGTAGGCGTCCGGCCAGACGGGGAGCACGGAGTGCCAGGGCCCCGAGTGGAGCTGCTCCCACGCCATCTCGTGGGCGGCCTCCGCCGCCCGGGAGTCGCCGGCGGCGGCCAGCGTGGCCATCCTGACGTAGGCGTACCCGCCGTGGGAGGAGACGGACTGGAGGATGCTGGATGACTCGGCGTCCAGCGTCGGCGTGGCGAACTGGTTGTCGGCGACGGCGGCGGAGGACATGGGGGCGGTGGTGGCGGAGATCTATCTAGTTGGCGGATAGTTTGGCGTTGATTGGGAATGGAATGGGAGGCCTTCACTTCTTTGTGCTGTAAAGCTGCGGTTTGGTTGGGGGCGCCTTTGTCCAAATTGGATTTTGATTATTTAAATAGTAAAGGTATGGGGGACTGAAATATCTGCCACGTCAGACATGATATTTCTCGCTTTTTGAGATATTTTATCCTCCCTTTTGCTTATTGGGCACCGGTGTTTATAGTACACGTCACTTTTTTTTGCGCTTTCGGATGCATTGTATTGGTAGTTTGATATATGGTGCTAAGTAAGGGCTGCAAACGAGCCGAGTCGAGTTTTTGCTGAGTTTGAGCTCGGCTCGTTTATAAATTTTTTAGCTCGAGCTCGACTCGAACTCGAATTTTGATCATCCAGCTCGAGCTTGAACTCGACTCGATTAAAAATAATCCAGCTCGAGCTCGGTAAATGCTCATTAACACATCTTGTCAAGCTGAGTACAAGCTCGGCTCAAGACAAGCTCGATTTGAAACCATTCTTGCTGAAAAATGTGTACAAATAAGAACATTAGAAATGAAAAATGATAAAAAGAAGACAAGAAACTAAAAATAACATCTAACTTCCATACACATCCTTATTAACAATATAATTTTCATGTTCAAAAGAATAATTAATCCTTCCACAAGCTTTAAACAAGTCAGCTCGCGAGCTTAGCTCAACAAGCCACCGAATCAAGCTAGCTCACGAGCTTATCAAGCCGAGCATGGCCTAGCTCAAGCTTGTCTCGTTTACCGCGAGCCGGCTTGTTAAACAACGAGTTGAATGTCGAACGAGTTTTTTCCGATTCGAACGCCGAGTTGCTCGCGAGCGCCTTGGCTCATTTGCAGTCCTAGTGCTTATCGCACCGATCAAGTGACTAATATCACAAATTTCGGGCGATTTTATCGAAATGTCACTTTCTTATATTTTTGAAGGCTACAAATTACGGACTTGGTCCTAGACTATTCTCCACCGATGGCGAATTCTACTGATACTACTCTCCATCGAAGATTAAGTCCATTAAGCATATATTTGTGTGGATTTATTTTTAGATTGCATTCGCAATTTTTTGAGCGATTTTTTTTCAAAAGACCATTTTCCTTGGATTTTGAAAACTATAGATCATGTAATCAGGCTTAGACTATTCTTCACCGATGATTAATTCCATTAAGCATCGATTTTGGTGGAGTTCCTTCAGATCCATTTTTTGTAGATTCCATAAGAGTACCGTCACATATTTCAGGCGATTTTGCCGATATGCCACTTTCTATTGCTTTTGAATGCTACAAATCATGGATTCGGCCCATGGCTATTCTCCAACCCTGATGAAGCCTATTGATTCTATTCTCCACCGACGATTAAGTCTATTAAGCATAGATTTGGGAGAATTAATTTTTGGATGACATTTTTGTAACTCTTAGGCCGATTTTTTTCGAAAGACCATTTTTCTTGGGTTTTGAAGGCTATAGATCATGGATTTGCCTTGAGCTATTCTTCACCCATGATTAAGTCCACTAAGCACCGATTTGAGCAGATTTCTTCTGGGTCCATATTTTGCAGATTCCAAAGATGTACCATCACATTTTCGGTCTATTTTACCGAAATGCCATTTTCTTTCGATTTTGAAGGCTACTGGGCACGAATTTGGCCCGAGGCTATTCTCCACGTATGATGAAGTCTATTGATCCTATTCTACACCGATGATTAATCCCATTAAGCACCGATTTGGGCAGATTTCTTTTGGGTCCATTTTTTGAAGATTTCAAAGGTGTACCATCACAAATTTTAGGCGATTTGACCGAAATGCCATTTTCTTTCGATTTGGAAGGCTACTGATCAAGGATTTGGTTCGAGACTATTCTCTAATGATGATGAAGTCTATTGATCCTATTCTCCACCAACGATTAGGTCCATTAGAGCATCTCCAATGGTGCCATCTACATGCAATTTCAAGTGTGGTCCCTACTACCACATCATCAACTTTAACAATTATCTCACTCTTCATTTTCATACAACCTACATCAATACCATCCACTTGCAATTGCAATTGTGGGCCCTACTTACTTTTTAATACAAATCAATATTCATATTATCTCCACCATTTTACTAAAATATTATAATATCCTTTCAACTTAAATTAGCAACTTCCTATAACTAATATCAATTAAAGTCAATAAATATAATTATAAATTTAATGTTACTAATTATATTAAACATTTTATGTATTAATTAGTTGTCTTAACGTGTTTAGTGTGTTTTCTTTTCAATTTGTACTTTGCGGATGTAATACTTTAAAGTATATATGAATCTTTAAGGTTTGTTAGTAGTATTGTTTTATTTATACAAAAATGATCATCGTTACCATCAATTAAATACATATACATATGTGTGTATGTGATAGGAAGGATAGAAAGAAATATATATATACAACATATCATTGGTGGTGGAAGCAAAAAAGAAAAAAACAATTGAACAAGAAAGAAGGGAAAAGAAAGAAAAGACAAATTGGTGGGGCCCTGTTGCAATTGCATACCAATTTGCATGGTGTGCAAATTTGCACCATTTGCAAATGATGCCACATCAATGCAAACCACTTTCTCATTTTCATCCCTCTGCCACGTAGGCTTGCAATTCACCTCATTTGCACCATTGGGGATGGTCTTAAGCATCTATTTGGGCGAATCAATTTTTTGATGACATTTTCGTAATTTTTGGGCTATTTTTTCCAAGGCCATTTTTCTTAGATTTTGAAGGCTACATATAACGTATTCGCCCTCATGCTATTCTACACCGATGATTAATTTCATTAAGCACCGATTTGGGCGGATTTCTTCAAGTTCCATTTTTTTCCAGATTCCACAGCAGTACCATCATAGATTTCAGGTGGTTTTACATAAATGCCATTTTCGTTCGATTTTGAAGGCTACAGATCATAGATTTGGCCAAAGGTTATTCTCAACTAATGATAAAGTCTATTGATCCTTTTATCCCATTGATTAAGTCCATTAAGCATCGATTTGGGCGGATTACTTTTCTGCTGACATTTTTCGTAATTTTTTGGGCAATTGTTTTTCGAAATGCCATTTTCATTGGATTTTGAAGCTTACAGATCACAGATTCACCCTGAGGCTATTCCACACCGATGCTTAATTCCATTAAGCATCGATTTGGACAGATTTCTTAAGGGTTCATGATAGACCAATAATTACACATGTTTATACCCCTATTCTTAAGCCGTTGGAGAAGAGATTCTCGTGTTTTAAGCCGTTGCAGATTCCAAAACAGTTTCTTCACAGATTTTGGCGAATTTATCGAAATGGCATTTTCTTTCAATTTGATGTCTACTGATCTAGGATTCGGCCCGAGGCTATTCTCCACTCATGATGAAGTCTATTGATCCTATTCTCCACCGATGATTAAGTCCATTGATCATTGATTTTGGCGGAATAATTTACAAATTGCATTTTCGAAGTTTTTTGGGTGATTTTTTTCGAAAGACCATTTTCTTGTATTTTGAAGGCTACAGATCACGGATTCGGCCTGAGAATATTTTTACCGATGATTAAGTTCAATAAGCACTGATTTGAGAAGATTTCTTCGGGTCGATTTTTTTGTAGACTGTAAAGGGTAACGTACCATCACATATTTAGTGCAATTTTACTGAAATGATATTTTCTTTTGATTTTGAAGGCTAATGGTCAAGGATTCGGCCGAGGCTATTCTCCAATGATGATGAAGTCTATGATCCTATTCTCCACTAACGATTAAGTCCATTAAGCATCGATTTGGACGGATAAATTTTCGGATGACATTTTTGTAAATTTTTGGGCGATTTTTTTCAAAATGCCATTTTCCTTAGATTTCGATGGCTATAGATCTCGGATTTGGCCTGAGGTTATTCTACACCGATGATTAATTCCACGAAGCACCGATTTGGGCGGATTTCTTCAGGGTTCATTTTTCGCAGATTTCACAGATTTCGGGCAATTTTACTGAAATGCCATTTTCTTTCGATTTTGAAGTCTACTGATCAAGGATTCGGTCGAGGCTATTCTCTATTGATGATGAAGTCTATTGATCCTATTCTTCACCAAAGATTAAGTCCATTAAGTATCGATTTGGGTAGATTAATTTTCGGATGGAATTTTTGTAATTTTTTGCGCAATTTTTTTCTCAAAATGCCATCTTTCATGTGTTTTGAAGGCTACAGATCACAGACTTGTTGTTATTCTACACCGATGATTAATTTTGTTAAGCACAAATTTGGGCGGATTTATAGAGTGTCTATTATTTCAGATTCCAAAGGGTTACCATCACATATTTCAGGCGATTTTGCTGAAATTATATTTTCTTTCGATTTTGAAGGCTATTGGTCAAGGAATTGGCCCGAGGCTATTCTCCACAGATTTGAGGTCTATTGATCCAATTCTCCACCGACGATTAAGTCCATTAAGCTTCAATTTGGGCAGTTTAATTTTCAAATTGCATTTTTAAGTTTTTTGGGCGATTTTTTTTCGAAAGGTCATTTCTCTTGGATTTTGAAGGCTATTGATCACGGATTCGGCCTGAGGCTATTCTTCAACGATGCTTAAGTCCATTAAGCATCGATTTGGGCGGATTTCTTCCGGGTCCATTTTTGGCACACTCCAAAGTGGTACCATCACAAATTTAGGGCGATTTTCATGAAATAGGATTTTCTTTCGATTTTGGATGATAAAGATCACAGATTTAGCCTGAGGTTATTGTCATCGATTATGAAGTCTATTGATCCAGTTAACTGTCGATAACTAAGTCCATTAATCACCGATTTGACAAAACTCATTTTCGGATGGCATTTTCGTAATTTTTGGGGCAATTTTTTCGAAAGACGATTTTTCTTGAATTTTGAAAGCTACAGATCACGAATTCGGCCTGAGCCTACTGTTCAACGATGATAAAAACCATTAAGCATCGATTTGAGACGATTTCTTCCGGGCCCATTTTTTGCAGACTCCGAAAGGGTATCATCATAGATTTCGTGCGATTTTCCAAAATGCCATTTTTGCAATTTTGAAGGAT